TGGGGGTGACACACGTGGCCCCACACCTGAACGTTGGGGGTGACACACGTGGTCCCACACCTGAACGTGGGGGTGACACACGTGGCCCCACACCAGAACGTTGGGGGTGACACACGTGGCCCCACACCAGAACGTTGGGGGTGACACACGTGGCCCCACACCTGAACGTTGGGGGGTGACACACGTGGCCCCACACCTGAACGTTGGGGTGACACACGTGGCCCCACACCTGAACGTTGGGGGTGACACACGTGGCCCCACACCTGAACGTTGGGGGTGACACACGTGGTCCCACACCTGAACGTTGGGGGGTGACACACGTGGCACAGATAACCCAACCTAACCTAACCTAACTTAAGTGATGGGGAGGGAAGTGAGGGGTGAGGAAGGGGGGTGAGGAAGGGGGGTGAGGGAGGGGGTGAGGGAGAGGTGAGGGAGGGGGTGAGGGAGAGATGAGGGAGGGAGTGAAGGAGGGGGTGAGGGAAGGGGGGCGGCCGAACAAAACTAACATGCAGAAACTGCAAGCAGTACAAAATAAGGCGCTAAGGAGAGCAGCAAAACACCGTCCACCATATGATCAGACAATCCAGGAGCTCCATGAACTCCTGAGCATATAGCCAATAAACATCAGACTCTAGCACCAAGCCATCAGGGTGTGGAACACCATCGAAATGTTAAAGGACCCAATGTTACAAAGATTGCTCCAAGATGAGACGCCCCGCTCCCACAGCTGGTGGCCCAAGATGAGACGCCCGGCTCCCACAGCTGGTGGCCCAAGATGAGACGCCCCACTCTCACAGCTGGTGGCCGAAGATGAGACGCCCTACTCTCACAGCTGGTGGCCCAAGATGAGACGCCCCACTCCCACAGCTGGTGGCCCAAGATGAGACGCCGCGCTCCCACAGCTGGTGGCCCAAGATGAGACGCCCCGCTCCCACAGCTGGTGGCCCAAGATGAGACGCCCCACTCCCACAGCTGGTGGCCCAAGATGAGACGCCCCGCTCCCACAGCTGGTAGCCCAAGATGAGACGCCCCACTCCCACAGCTGGTAGCCCAAGATGAGACGCCCCGCTCCCACAGCTGGTAGCCCAAGATGAGACGCCCCACTCCCACAGCTGGCAGCCCAAGATGAGACGCCCCACTCCCACAGCTGGTAGCCCAAGAGCCGCGATTTACTAGATGAAAACCCAGACCAGAAACTATGTGTGTATGTATGTATGTATATAGTTTTGTGTATAAATATGTATAAGGGTATATATGTATAGGCGTATGTATGAATAACTCAATAAATAATAATTAATAAAGAGCCTTAAACAGAACAACATGTGTGGAAGCATCGGAGTGTGTATATATGAATGCTACACAGTATGCATCTATGGACATCCATATATGGTGAAACACATGTGAAGAACCTCTCACACACTCACAGCTCCCTGACAAGAGGGAGCCAGCTTAGCTTAGCTGCCAACACCCACACATCGTGTCAGCAAGGCGGACAGCCCGCCCGCTTTCATACCTGTCACTGTATTTCCCACTTCTATACTTCCCTTCACCTATGCCTCACCTTCCTCTTTACTTACAAGAAAAATGGGGGGTGAGGGAGAGGCACGACCCGCCCCAGGACACACACGAGGCCAGAATGTGCTGTGTCAGGCAGCTGCCATATTAGTCAGGAGAGGCCACACTGTGCCCTCCCACCACTGTTACTCTACCCCCTGCTACCACCACCACTGTTACTCTACCCCCTGCTACCACCACCACTGTTACACTACCCCTGCTACCACCACCACTGTTACACTACCCCCTGCTACCACCACCACTGTTACTCTACCCCCTGCTACCACCACCACTGTTACTCTACCCCCTGCTACCACCACCACTGTTACACTACCCCTGCTACCACCACCACTGTTACTCTACCCCTGCTACCACCACCACTGTTACTCTACCCCTGCTACCACCACCACTGTTACTCTACCCCCTGCTACCACCACCACTGTTACTCTACCCCTGCTACCACCACCACTGTTACTCTACCCCCTGCTACCACCACCACTGTTACACTACCCCTGCTACCACCACCACTGTTACACTACCCCTGCTACCACCACCACTGTTACACTACCCCTGCTACCACCACCACTGTTACTCTACCCCTGCTACCACCACCACTGTTACACTACCCCCTGCTACCACCACCACTGGTTACTCTACCCCTGCTACCACCACCACTGGTTACTCTACCCCCTGCTACCACCACCACTGGTTACTCTACCCTCTGCTACCACCACCACTGGTTACTCTACCCCCTGCTACCACCACCACTGTTACACTACCCCTGCTACCACCACCACTGTTACACTACCCCCTGCTACCACCACCACTGTTACTCTACCCCCTGCTACCACCACCACTGTTACTCTACCCCTGCTACCACCACTACTGGTACACTACCCCCTACTACCACCACCACTGTTACACTACCCCCTGCTACCACCACCACGGTTACTCTACCCCCTGCTACCACCACCACTGTTACTCTACCCCCTGCTACCACCACCACTGTTACTCTACCCCTGCTACCACCACCACTGTTACACTACCCCCTGCTACCACCACCACTGTTACACTACCCCTGCTACCACCACCACTGTTACTCTACCCCTGCTACCACCACCACTGTTACTCTACCCCCTGCTACCACGACCACTGTTACTCTACCCCTGCTACCACCACCACTGTTACTCTACCCCCTACTACCACCACCACTGTTACACTACCCCTGCTACCACCACCACTGTTACTCTACCCCCTGCTACCACCACCACTGTTACACTACCCCCTGCTACCACCACCACTGTTACACTACCCCCTGCTACTACCACCACTGTTACACTACCCCCTGCTACCACCACCACTGTTACACTACCCCCTGCTACCACCACCACTGTTACACTACCCCTGCTACCACCACCACTGTTACACTACCCCCTGCTACCACCACCACTGTTACACTACCCCTGCTACCACCACCACTGTTACACTACCCCCTGCTACCACCACCACTGGTACACTACCCCCTGCTACCACCACCACTGTTACTCTACCCCTGCTACCACCACCACTGGTACACTACCCTCTGCTACCACCACCACTGTTACTCTACCCCTGCTACCACCACTACTGGTACACTACCCCCCTATTACCACCACCACTGTTACACTACCCCTGCTACCACCACCACTGTTACTCTACCCCCTGCTACCACCACCACTGTTACACTACCCCCTGCTACCACCACCACTGTTACACTACCCCCTGCTACCACCACCACTGTTACTCTACCTCCTGCTACCACCACCACTGTTACTCTACCACCTGCTACCACCACCACTGTTACACTACCCCCTGCTACCACCACCACTGTTACACTACCCCCTGCTACCACCACCACTGTTACTCTACCCCTGCTACCACCACCACTGTTACACTACCCCCTGCTACCACCACCACTGTTACTCTACCCCTGCTACCACCACCACTGTTACACTACCCCCTGCTACCACCACCACTGGTACACTACCCCTGCAACCACCACCACTGTTACACTACACCTGCTACCACCACCACTGGTTACTCTACCCCTGCTACCACCACCACTGGTTACTCTACCCCCTGCTACCACCACCACTGGTTACTCTACCCCCTGCTACCACCACCACTGGTTACTCTACCCCCTGCTACCACCACCACGGTTACACTACCCCCTGCTACCACCACCACTGTTACACTACCCCTGCTACCACCACCACTGTTACACTACCCCCTGCTTCCACCACCACTGGTACACTACCCCTGCTACCACCACCACTGTTACACTACACCTGCTACCACCACCACTGGTTACTCTACCCCTGCTACCACCACCACTGGTTACTCTACCCCTGCTACCACCACCACTGGTTACTCTACCCCCTGCTACCACCACCACTGTGAGGAGAGACATGAGAGGTTTGAGGAGAGACAGAGACAATATATGTGACAAATAATTACCATCGTCATGGAAAAACAGGAATTGCTAAAATTGATAACGTAAATTTAATGAAATCTTCAACGCCAGGAACATGTCCCTTTCATGTACAAATTTTTCCTGTGATAAGAGTCATAGAGGGATCCAATAGTCTACCCAACAAAGAGGTAAATGATGACATCAAGGAAAGCCCACAAGCGGGGCTCTCACCTCTAACCCATTAAGGTAATTACACATAGGTTATTACCCTTAGGTAATTACACTTACCTGACTACATGTATGTAATTACATGTAGGTAACTACACCTGAGTGCCAGTGTCTAATTACCTAATTACACTTATATAGTTACTCTTAGGTAACGACACATTTGTATTACACTTAGGTAATTATACACACGCACACGAGGGCAGTTGAGGGGACAGGTGCAGCAGGTGAGGGGAGAAGTGCAGCAGGTAAGGGGAGAGGTGCAGCAGGTGAGGGGAAGGTGCAGCAGGTGAGGGGAGAGGTGCAGCAGGTGAGGGGAGAGGTGCAGCAGGTGAGGGGAAGGTGCAGCAGGTGAGGGGAGAGATGCAGCAGGTGAGGGGAGAGGTGCAGCAGGTGAGGGGAGAGATGAGGGGAGAGGTGCAGCAGGTGAGGGGAGAGGTGCAGCAGGTGAGGGGAGAGGTGCAGCAGGTGAGGGGAGAGGTGCAGCAGGTGAGGGGAGAGATGCAGCAGGTGAGGAGGGAGAGGTGCAGCAGGTGAGGGGAGAGGTGCAGCAGGTGAGGGGAGAGGTGCAGCAGGTGAGGGGAGAGGTGCAGCAGGTGAGGAGGGAGAGGTGCAGCAGGTGAGGGGAGAGGTGCAGCAGGTGAGGGGAGAGGTGCAGCAGGTGAGGGGAGAGATGAGGGGAGAGGTGCAGCAGGTGAGGGGAGAGATGCAGCAGGTGAGGGGAGAGATGCAGCAGGTGAGGGGAGAGAGAGGGGACACTACTCACCAAGGTTCCTGGCACGGTCGTGCCCGGGCATGCACTGGTCTGCCCAGCGCTGCGCCACCGTCGCCAGCTCCTCGTCCCAGACCTGTGGCACAACACTTATTGTATGCAACACTCTTATTGTATGACAACACTCTTATTGTATGGCAACACTCTTATTGTATGGCAACACTCTTATTGTATGGCAACACTCTTATTGTATGGCAACACTCTTATTGTATGGCAACACTCTTATTGTATGACAACACTCTTATTGTATGGCAACACTCTTATTGTATGGCAACACTCTTATTGTATGACAACACTCTTATTGTATGGCAACACTCTTATTGTATGGCAACACTCTTATTGTATGGCAACACTCTTATTGTATGGTAACACTCTTATTGTATGGCAACACTCTTATTGTATGGCAACACTCTTATTGTATGGCAACACTCTTATTGTATGGCAACACTCATATTGTATGGCAACACTCTTATTGTATGGCAACACTCATATTGTATGGCAACACTCTTATTGTATGGCAACACTCTTATTGTATGGCAACACTCATATTGTATGGCAACACTCTTATTGTATGGCAACACTCTTATTGTATGGCAACACTCTTATTGTATGGCAACACTCTTATTGTATGCCAACACTCTTATTGTATGGCAACACTCTTATTGTATGGCAACACTCTTATTGTATGGCAACACTCTTACTGTATGGCAACACTCTTATTGTATGGCAACACTCATATTGTATGCCAACACTCTTACTGTATGGCAACACTCTTATTGTATGCCAACACTCTTATTGTATGGCAACACTCTTATTGTATGGCAACACTCTTATTGTATGGCAACACTCTTACTGTATGGCAACACTTATACTATATGGCAACACTTTTATTGTATGGCAACACTCTTACTGTATGGCAACACTCTTATTTTACGCCAACACTTATTGTATGGCAACACTCGTATTGTATGACAACACTTATACTATATGGCAACACTTTTATTGTATGGCAACACTTATACTATATGGCAACACTCTTATTGTATGGCAGCACTCTCTTACTGTATGGCAACTCTATTATTGCATGGCAACTCTATTATTGTATGGCAACACTCTTATTGTATGGCAGCAATCTCTTACTGTATGGCAACTCTATTATTGTATGGCAACACTCCTACTGTATGGCAACTCTATTATTGTATGGCAACACTCTGACTGCATGGCAACACTCTGACTGTATGGCAACACTCTGACTGCATGGCAACACTCTTATTGTATGGCAACACCTGCAACACAACATTATTGCTACCTGGAACACAAGAACAGAGAATGTGGGGAGAGTGTGGGCAGGGTAGAGTGTAGGCAGGGGAGAGTGTGGGCAGGGTAGAGTGTGGGCAGGGGAGAGTGTGGGCAGGGGAGAGTGTGGGCAGGGGAGAGTGTGGGCAGGGGAGAGTGTGGGCAGGAGAGAGTGTAGGCAGGGGAGAGTGTGGGCAGGGTAGAGTGTGGGCAGGGGAGAGTGTGGGCAGGGGAGAGTGTGGGCAGGAGAGAGTGTAGGCAGGGGAGAGTGTGGGCAGGGTAGAGTGTGGGCAGGGGAGAGTGTGGGCAGGGGAGAGTGTGGGCAGGGGAGAGTGTGGGCAGGGTAGAGTGTAGGCAGGGTAGAGTGTGGGCAGGGGAGAGTGTGGGCAGGGGAGAGTGTGGGCAGGGGAGAGTGTGGGCAGGGTAGAGTGTAGGCAGGGTAGAGTGTGGGCAGGGGAGAGTGTGGGCAGGGTAGAGTGTGGGCAGGAGAGAGTGTAGGCAGAGGAGAGTGTGGGCAGGGTAGAGTGTGGGCAGGGGAGAGTGTGGGCAGGGGAGAGTGTGGGCAGGGTAGAGTGTGGGCAGGGGAGAGTGTGGGCAGGGTAGAGTGTAGGCAGGGTAGAGTGTGGGCAGGGGAGAGTGTGGGCAGGGGAGAGTGTGGGCAGGGGAGAGTGTGGGCAGGGTAGGGTGTAGGCAGGGTAGAGTGTGGGCAGGGGAGAGTGTGGGCAGGGGAGAGTGTGGGCAGGGGAGAGTGTAGGCAGGGGAGGGTGAGTGGAGGGGTGGTGGTGTACAGGTGGGCTGCGTCGGGCACTAACACCAACACGGCCCTCGTCATGTAAGTCATAAAGGAGCAGTGAGCGAGGGCGAGACGGCCAGCCAGACCTTCCACATGTATCTGAGAGCAACAAGATAATTACTTAGTGCGACAAGGAGCCCCTGACGGCCGACACGGTTCACACAGCTGTTCCCTCCTAGCCCAGGCAACACCGCTCCTCCATCACAACCCGCAGCTTCCGTCCACACCCTGGCTGCCTGGTGCTGCCATCGCTGAAGCACTTGCACAAGTGTGCTGCCAACACACACAGGAAGTACAGTACAATTCACTAAAAAAATCGTATTTAGTTGTGTCACTCAGCCCGTACTCATCACAAACAGCCCGTCCTCATCAACAAACTGCCCGTCCTCATCAACAAACAGCCCGTGCTCATCAAAAACAGCCCGTCCTCATCAACAAACTGCCCGTCCTCATCAACAAACAGCCCGTCCTCATCAACAAACAGCCCGTCCTCATCAACAAACTGCCCGTCCTCATCACAAACAGCCCGTCCTCATCAACAAACTGCCCGTCCTCATCAACAAACTGCCCGTCCTCATCAACAAACTGCCTGTCCTCATCAACAAACTGCCCGTCCTCATCAACAAACAGCCCGTCCTCATCAACAAACAGCCCGTCCTCATCAACAAACTGCCCGTCCTCATCAACAAACTGCACGTCCTCATCACAAACAACACGTCCTCATCACAAACAGCCCGTCGTCATCACAAACAGCCCGTCCTCATTACAAATTGCCCGTCCTCATCAACAAACTGCACGTCCTCATCACAAACAACACGTCCTCATCACAAACAGCCCGTCCTCATCACAAACAGCCCGTTGTCATCACAAACAGCCCGTCGTCATCACAAACAGCCCGTCCTCATTACAAACTGCCCGTCCTCATCAACAAACTGCACGTCCTCATCACAAACAACACGTCCTCATCACAAACAGCCCGTCGTCATCACAAACAGCCCGTCGTCATCACAAACAGCCCGTCGTCATCACAAACAGCCCGTCCTCATCACAAACAGCCCGTCCTCATCACAAACAGCCCGTCCTCATCACAAACAGTGTTGGAAAGTTTCCAACACTAATACATCATTTCTTGTATTACAATACATCATTATTGTATTAACCACAGTATCAATTAACCTTACTAACTGTAATGCTATCATAAATTAATATTTCTTTATCTGCGCGTTAATTGCTGAAATTCTCACGACATCGAGAGGCAGGATTGCGTCAGATATTGTCTATTTAGACATATTTATTACCAATATGTTAGAGAATTTAATATGGTTCTCTACTTTTATCAGTATTCTGTATAATAATTAATTACTGATAATATAACTCCTAATGATCCAATAACCGAGAGTTATTAACTAAAATTATCACTAAATAACAGGTTTATCTGTCATATACGAGTGCCATGGAAATACTTCCCATTTCTCGTTAAGGAAACAGTGCTTAATCAACACCATCTAGCTAGAATAATAAACAATATTTAATTCCCCACAATTCCAACCCTATTCCTTTAACACATTACGTCAGTAATTACACGGAAAAGATTTCTCCGTGATTACTAACTTCTATTGTGAATGGGAGAGAGGGGGTTGAGGGAGACGCTGGGGGCGAGCAGCCATTCCTCACGTGTCCGCCCGGTGATCAGGAAGGGAAGACGCGTGGTGGTGGTGGTGTGACTGAAGAGTTTTCCAACATTAATTACCTTGCAGCGCCACTGATAGCCACCACTTACCTCCCCACGTGTTCTACAGCGCCCTGCCAGTTAATAACGCGTCAACAATTGAAGTCCGTAATTACGCGTACACAGCAGTGGACGCCTGGGACTGGCTGACGCGGTTCAGGCAGACTTTAGTGTTTGACACGCTCACGTTAACTATACTCTTCTCGTTTGATGCATCATTCAAGATCGTGTATTTGTGGGTAGTCTGTCGTTATGTAGCAAGAACAACAACAATACATCGTTAGTTGATTTTCTTCATTTATTTCAATTTCAATGAATATTGAAATAATTCATAGCCTAATACAATGCTACATAATTTTCCGTGATAGCAGCGTGTAGACGAGGAGTTAACAAGTTGTCTCTCATCACTCACGATATTCTCCACGGGTTCCTTCCTTATTGGTATCTTATGGTCACGAGGACGAGTAACGAAACAGAATTACAGAAGTCGTCTTACAGCTAAGACACCAGTTTTCGTATAAATTTAGCTAAGATTATTATTAGTTCAATATAAATTCATATATAGAATGTTTACAGTGAATAATCTAATGCCAGAATTTATGGTTTGATGTTTAATGTGTTTTACTCTTATTGTTGCTCAACATTTCATAATCTTTCAATATATTCATTATTTGATATATCGTATCTTTGAATCTATAGTTAGTTCAGATTTGCCATCTTACTAACTCAACAATGAACTAGTGACGAACCACACTGGTTCCTAGATATATATGAACATCTAGAAATACCCCTCCCCCCCCAATGTTGATATTTGAGGCTTTGACTTTAATTAATTAATAATACAGTCTATTCATTACCGTCAAGTGATTTATTATCGCACATTGGCACTGTTTCTATAATGTCAATCTAATAATCACCTTTATTGGTTTTCCCTCTTTTCTCAAAGTGGTCCTTCGATTTATGTTAACCATAAGAATCAAATAATTTAATATATGAGTTAAAGCCCCAGAGACCCAACAAACAGCCCGTCCTCATCACAAACAGCCCGTCCTCATCACAAACAGCCCGTCCTCATCACATACAGCCCGTCCTCGTCACACACAGCCCGTCCTCATCACAAACAGCCCGTCCTCGTCACACACAGCCCGTCCTCGTCACACACAGCCCGTCCTCATCACAAACAGCCCGTCCTCATCACACACAGCCCGTCCTCATCACAAACAGCCCGTCCTCATCACAAACAGCCCGTCCTCATCAC